CTTCCATGTAAACTAAAAGCCTTATTTCATATGGGCTTTTGTGGTGCTATGGTGATGTCCCTACCTCTGAACAAGGAGGCCTAGATCCAAGTTCCATTTGCACAAAGATGTGTAATAATATCCCTGAACAGGTGATCCAAAAATATCTAAAAGCCTTATTTTACAGAACATGATAAACCAGGATCAGAGGTACAAAACTCTGGATGCTGGAAATCTGAAATAGAAACAGAAATGCCGGAATTACTCAGCAGGACCCACAGCATCCAAGAGAGAAAGACAGTTAATGTTTCAGGTCAACGATCTTCCACCAAACCATTTTTGCTTCTCTTTATACAGATGCTGTTGGACCCAGTAAGTATAGAGCATTTTATGCTTTTATTTCAAATTTCCACGTTCTGCAGTTATTTATTTTTGTTGTAATAGTTGTCTCCACTAAATGTGTCCAATATAGAAGATCTAGCAACGTTTTAAAACAAGGCAGTGTGTTTAATGAAGTTGTATACCATGAAATGTCTTCAGTTTTTGACATTCACTTAGGTACCGCTTTGAGAAATGTTAGAACCTGCAGACTAGGATAAACAGAGGGCTAAAAGACTCAGCATGTCTGGCAGCTTTTGCAGACAGAGAAAGAGTTGACATTTCATGTCCAGTATGAATCTTAGAGTCAGAGTTGTACAGCATGGAAACAGACCCTTTGTCCAACCTGTCCATGCCAACCAGATATCTTAAATTCATCTCGTCACATTTGCCAGCATTTGGTCAATATCCCTTTAAACCCTTCTTATTCATGTACCCATCCAGATGCCTTTAAAAATGTTGTGATTGTACCCACCTCCACCACTTCCTCTGGCAGCTCATTCCATACACGCACCAACTGTTGCATTAAGAAGTTGTCCCTTTTAAATCCTTCCCCACTCAACTTAAACCTATGTCCTCTGGTTCTGGACTCCTCTGCCCTAGGGAAAAAGACCTTAGCTATTCACCCTATCTAAGCCCCTCAATTTCATAAACCTCTATAAGGTCACCCCTCAGCCTCCAACTCTCCAGGGAAAATAGCTCTGGCCTATTCAGCCTCTCTTCTTGTTCCGCAGTCATTCTGGACTTGAAACATTAACACTGTTTTTCCCTCCATCGATGCTGCCAGATCTGCTGAGTTTCTACAGCATTTTGTGTGTTTGTTTCAGATTTCCAGCCTCTGTAACATTTAAAATCTATTTTAGGACAGGCTAGGACTTGGTTTAACATCACACCCAAAAATACACTCCATGTTGCACTCTAGAATCAGTCTATAATATTATGAGCTCATGTCTCTGGAATGGTGCATGAACAAACAAACCTTTTGTAAGAGAGGCAAAAGTGCAACTACTGAGTCTAGGTCAACATCCTGATTGAGAATTCACTATGGCAGTACAGGTTTGGATGAAAATATTCCCAATACACACACTGGATACAAATATTGGACCACTGACATGTTCCTGATCTTAAACATCAGAATTGATTGATACGTGAATCAAACTGAACATGTAATCCAACTCGGATACTAAATAGCAGAGTAAACAAAAACAGAAATAGCTAGAAAAGCTCAGCAGGTCTGGCAGCATCTGTGAAGAAAAATTAAAGTAAACAATGTCATATTTGACTTCAACGGAAACTATCAATCTTATATTCATGTCATCCCCAAGGCTACCCTACCATCACCCAACTTTTGCCTCAGCTCATCATCTGAGAAAACCTTATTCATGCTTTTGTTAATTTTAGCATGAATATTTCAATCCACTCCTGGCTGCCTTCCATTTTTTTTTATCTCAGTAAACTTGACATTATTCAAAGTTCAACTGTCTGCAATGTCTTGATGTTAAAATTCTAAACCCCGTTTTCAAATGCCATGGCTTCACCCCTATTTATGTAATTTCTTCCAGCTCTACAACCTTCCAAGATATTCACACTCATTTAATTCTGGCCTTGAGCAGCTCAAATTTTAATTGCTCTGTTATTGGTGACTGCACCTTCAGTCACTTGGGTCCTAGGTCCTGGATGATCCTAGTTATACTTTTTATAGATTATAGAATTTTTAAGAGTAGATTATAGAAGCCCTACAGTGTGGAAAGAGGCCCTTCGGCCCAACAAGTCCACACCGACACTCAAGGCATCCCACCCAAACCATCCCTATAACCCAGCTAAACTACACATCCCTGAACACTATGGGCAATTTAGCATTGCCAATCCACCTAGCCAGCACACCTTTAGACCATGGGAGGAAACCCACACAGACACAGAGAGAATGTGCAAACTCCGCACACAGTTGCCCGAGGGTGGAATCGAACTCGGGTCCCTGGCGCTGTGAGGAAACAGTGCTAACCGTGCCGTGCATTAATCATTACTTCTTCAGCTTACTACCTCAGCTCCTTCCTTTAAATCACACACCTTCAAATCTACTTCTCTAACTAAGCTTAGGTCATCTGACCAAATACCAAGTGAATCAGCATTATTTTCTTTTTATGTTTTTGAGGTGTTCTATGATATTTCATTCTGGTTAAGACACTAAATAAATTTAAGCTTTCATAGTGATTGAAACAATTTCCGATTAACTTTCAAAGTATCAGAAAGTAAAGAATATTGTCTAACTTTTGATTAAGACTCACGTCTTTCATCCTTCATTAACCTCAGCTCAGCCAAGATTCTGCTCACCAATGACCCATTCGCACTAGCTTACTCTGGCTCCTGGACCACCAATGCCTCAAATTTATAATGTTCATCAGTGCATGCAGTTCTCTCCAAGGCATCTGCCATCCCCACCTTTAACCTTTTTCAACTTCGTAACCTTAAAAGAACTAGCATTCTTCCAACATCCTTCACGTACACCCTTCCCTCCCTTTACCATATTGGCTACCATGTCTTCAGCTGTTCATGACCTTTACTGTGGAATTCCCTTTCTATTCACCTCCACTGTTTTCCAATTTACTCATGGGACATCGCCCAACCCTAGTTGCCCTCGAGAAAGTGGTGGTGAGCTGTCTTCTTGAACCGTTGCAGTCCATATGCTGTAGGTACACCTACAATGTCATTAGGGAGGCAATTCCAGTTCTCCCCTCAAGAAAAGATCTGGATGACCAAGCTTGAGGTCACATGTCATTGTCTTACGATCACCTTTTCTGACTCAGTGTCAACTTTTAAACTGCTTTCAATTTTATGAATCACAAAAACTATACTTAAATACAATTTGATTTTGGTGCCATGGTAACCCTGTAGCACAGATGGCAGAACATCTGAGTACTCACTTAAAAGACCGCAAATTGACCAGAAGGTACACTTGTCTTTACTTGGAAAGGTACCCTTGGTTCCTCTAGGAAACTTATCATCCAGTATTTTTTTATTGTTCACATGTATTCCTCAATTGTATACTAACTATAAACATAAGTGTGCAATTGAAAAGCACAAGCGACTGGAGTTATTCACAGAAGGGCTTTTCAGGAAGTTTGACAGTAGAAACTTTTGATTCTAATAAATGATTTTCTTTTTGCCTATAGCAGGCTGTGTGTGTTAATTTGTGAGGGCCAACATGATTATAGATTTTAAATTGTTTCTAAGGCAAAATAAGCCATAAATGTTCACAAACCAAATGTGATTAAAGACAACCAATTGTGTTAATTCAACTCAAATGCATAAAGTTATTAGTCAGTCTGTTGCAATGTTATCAGTACTGAATGTTTAAACTAAAATATTATAGTTTATGAAGCATTATTGCTAGTCCTTGCAATGTGTGTCTCTCATTTCACTCAAATTATTTGTAACTTATTAGGTGGGAAGTGAAAAAAACTGCAATTAAAAACAGGACACAATCACATTCATGTATTTATGGTTCGCTTTTCTGTTGAAATGGAGGGGGAACTCCTGTCACAGTAGTAACCCTTGTTATAACTCCAAGTTTCATGGGATCCTTTTTGTAATACAAATATTTTAGCCATACTTTCTAATAAGTGTTATAATTTCTCAAGCAGTATGCTGGCAATAGTCAAGTGTTTCCCAACTAAATAAAATCAAGATGTATATTGCAGTACACATCAAGTAAAGTTTAACAGTTCTGAGGAAGGGTCACCAGACCAAAAATGTTAACGCGGATTTCTCTTCACAGAGGCTGTGAGACCTGCTGAGCTTTTCCAGCAACTTGTTTTTGTAAGTAAAATTTAATTTTGGCTTTAGCATGTTCTCAGTTCAAAAGATTCACCTACTCGTGCATTACTTCTGCAATGCACAGGCTAGTTGCAACTTTCACAATTCCCTGTAATCATTCTTCAGTATCATTACCCTTGAAATTTAGAAATAAAAATTTTTCCTATAAGTAACATCTCTGGAACTGTAAGTAAAGCATTCATATATTTGGGAGATCCAAAAATGATTTCAAGACAGCAGGCACTACAATTTTGGCTTATTGGGAATGTGTATTCCTTTAGAGTGACTGCTTCACTATTTGTTTTCTGAATAGCCATAAGATAGTTTAACAAACCATTATATACCAAAACAGCACCTGTAGAAACAACTAACAGGAGGATTTGATCTATTGTATTTATTAACCGTTGAAATTGTGTTGTTCGGGTAAAAATAACTTCAAGTGTGTCCTACGACATGATTTGGAACAGACAGTTTGTTTTCAAATGACGAACTTCCAGAACATTTAAATAAGAACAAGAGGCACATTTTTTCAGAAATCGTTCATTTTCAAATCGTATGAAAATGCTAAGTGTTGTTGCTTGTGAACGAGTCATTAGTCAACAGGGAAATCCCGAACCCTGCTGAAGAACGAAGTTACTTGAAAGCCTCTTTATTGACGTATCCTTTTAACTTCCAACGTCTCCGCCTGGTTGCCTTGCTCACGCCTGGAACCTCGGTTCAGGCCTCAAGTTAGGCCCTGCCTCGGGTGCCTCACAAATTACTAAAGACGTCACTGCGGCGGCGGCACCGCCACAAACACTAAAAGGAACAATAAAAAAAATCAAATTCACCTCCAGATCCCGCCCTTTGTTCTTGAAATTCTTCAGCCGCTGTTTGTCGTTGTCCGCCATTGCCGTGTGCCTCTCGAGAAGTAAACTTGCCCTTGGTTACTGAATTCCTAATGGTGAAAACGAAACAATAAGCAGCAGTCCCTCCACCTGCCTTTCAGCTCACTTGGCTTCACCAGAATCAGGCAAAATGCCGGTAAAACGCTCAGCCTCACTTTCGCCGCAATGGGCAACTCGCAGTAAGAGCGACGTTGATTGGCTCGCGCCTGCCGGTGATGCAGAGCGGACGGTCGCGCCGCCAGGTGGTCCTCCCGACCCCGGGGGGGCGCTGCCTTCCCTTACCCCTGCGGACCTGATGTTTCCCTCCTCGCCGCGCCAGCACCACCGAGTTGTGGCCTTTTGCAAACTCCCGCCCGCTGATTCAGGCCAGCCCCGGCCCGGCCGGCCCTTAGCAACCGCGCCTGCTGTTGCCATATTGGAGCGAGTGCGAGTTTCGCGCTGCGCACTTAGGGCCTGGGGTAAGGGAAAGGATTTGCAGTCATAAAATCGGAGCTAGGTTTGAGAGCGCCATGTTTCTGTGGGCTTCGGGCGAGCTCTGGCTATGGCTTAATCTGAATAACGTCCTCCCTTTAGTTTTGACAAAAATAGGAATTCAAAAAATATCAGGTAGTTGTCAGTTCTGCGGTCAGGAATTTTTTTTTTAAATGTGCAAATCGGCTGTGGCCTCCTCTGCCAAATAATAATTTGACCTACACATTTTTTTTGTAAATGATTTTAACTGTGAAGTGCTGCGATAATGACGTATTAAATGTAAAATGGAAACTGAATAGTGAACCCATATAAAAGACTAAAGTTAATGTACCGTCTTGGGCTTGCTTCATGGGAAAGCATATTGACTAGGAGAGGATTGTGTCAGTGCACTCGGATATAGCATACACGTGGGAAAAATGATAAGAAAAGCTGAAGGTAATAGTTATTGATGAATAAACTTTATGGCCTTGAAAATACTGTAACGAGTCTGGAAGACCTGTAACTCCGAAGAAACTTCATACTGGAGATTTTTCTCCCTTAATATTAACCACATTTGCCACAGTTTTGTTGTTTTATATTATGTAAATCATTTCCCATTTTATAATTCTTGGTTTGCATTCAATTTCTCAGTAGAGATTCTTCAATCAGATTGGTAGAAGAACCACCCTGTTTTTTGTCCTGTTGACAGAGGCCATGTCCTTTGTAGTGTGCAGAGGCTGGAAAAGAAGCTGGATCAGAGGGAACCTGTTCTGAGAACCCTCAAAAGCTCCGTAGGCAAGTGAGCATTGCTTCCCTGCCATTGATTGCAAAATCCTATATCTTCCAAATGACAGTCTTTTGAGCTCAGTCTTCCTGGGCCAGTTCCAAATCTGAGAGAGTACATGTTGCTTTAAAAACACCAGTTTCTTACAAACGTTTCGTTAAAACAGTGTCTTTATAACAAAGATCCAGTCTGGCAGCATGATCTCGTTGTGACTGGTTTACATTCTTGAGCTAAAATTTATGTGACACAATGATCCGATGATATGGGTGAAGCTGACTCAGAAATCATTCTGTTATGTGCTGTCCTATAAACCAGTATAAACAAGGGCTTTTAGCTTTCTTTTCTATAGATTTCCAGATTCCTCATTAATTAAGTTTCATATGCATTATTAAACTGAGGCCTGTTGACTCCTCGGTTGCATCTCAAGGATTCCACAGCACTAGTTCAAAGGCACACAGTGGTGTTCTGACTATTGGACTGTCCAATATTTTTATCCGTAAAGTATTGATATATGCAAATTGGTTGCTGCACTTTCTGCATTATAGCAGTTGACAATAATTTATTGACTATAAATCATTTTGGGACATCCTAAGATCTGGATAGGTGCCCTCTTTTGATATTAGTCAGTCTGATATATGATTTTTTTAAAAGTCCAGTGAATGTAGCTGAAATATGCCATTCTAAAATGATAATTCAACAGAGCATTGAGTTTTTATTCAAATTTGTATAGTGGTCACATTTATTGTAAATGCCACCACCACCTGACAGAAAGAATGTGTACGTACATTGTTGTGAGTTGACATCACAGCGTGACAGAAGGAAGTAGTGCTGCACAAGTGTCTAATGTGATGAACCCAATGAGGGTAAATAAAGGGGTTCACAGGAGGGTTGGGGTGGTGAGCAGGTGCAGCAGTAGCCCTATCCCTGGGCACGACCTCCTGGCTCCAGATAAGGATTTCTGTTACCAGGTGGGTGTCAAGATGGCGGCAGTGGCTGGGAGAGGGCAGATGATCATTGCTTCCTCCCGTCCTCTGTCCAATTTTTCTTCCTTTCCAAGTGGGGTTTAAGCCTCTGCCTCACCTCCCCTACTTCCCATCTGTGGTGCATGTGCTGATTATGACATCACCACACATGCATATATGCTTCCTGCGGATTGACATTTTATAGCCAGGTGACATCACTGGTGCATCTGTGACAAGTACAGTGGCCATATTGCATTATGTATGATCACTGTTGTGTGGCATTTCATTAGAAAACTGGAATCAGCATTCTGAGTTTTGATGGTACTGTGAAACAAAATGGTTGCCATGTAACATGCCAACAGTCACTAGAAAAATTGTAAAGTTTTCCACTTGTTATAAGGTCGTGCTTGCTGTGCAGGTAACAGCAACTGTTGAAAGTGCTATTGTAATGGGAAAGAGTTTTGATGCAATCTGGTCAATATAATGATTTTTTTAATCGTCATTACCCAAAGTCATTCAGAAGATATTTTAAGTGAGACAAGCTTTTTAAATCTATGAGAATTTGATTTTAACATTTCGGAAACCTTATTTATTCTGAGATAAAAATACAACATCTAACCAATATCGACGTGGTAGTAAGACTGTCACTTTAAATTGTTCTATCTTCAATAACTGAATAAAATCTTGGTTTATTAACCCAAGGGTTTAAAGAAAAACAAATTAAACAATTTCACATTCCACAGAGGACAGCCCAACAAGAGTGTTGGTTCTCAGCATTTGTGAAAAAGAGCAATACCCCTTTTAAATCTTGTATCCTAAATGAAAAATAATTCTTTATTAAATTCATTCCCAAGACATGGGCACTGCTGGCATGGCTGATATTTTATTCTTCTTTGTCCAAAGATCATCAATTAAAAAAGTTTAAACATCCTGGGTACTTCTCACATAGGTTTGCTTGGAAGAACTTCTATAGGATCCTGATATGTATCGTCAGTCATATGTCCAGTCTGTAATGATCTGGAGACCAGTGTATCCAATAGATTGTACAGATCACAACTCTCTCTCTAAAAGATTGGATGTTTAAGTCATTGGATGGGTGAAAATCAAGTGGACTGCACTGTTCAAGGTAAAGTAATGCAGCACCTATCCAGGGAAATTTATCTTGGTGTTTGTAAACTCCCCAGGTTTTGAGGAGTTAGGAGGCAAGCTACTTGCAGCAGAATATTTAGCCTCTGACTTGCTAGAGTAGCAGCATTATTTACATGACAAGTCAAGATTAGTTTCTAATCAGCGATGACCCCAAGAGGGCTAATGTAAGGGATGCAGTAATGATACTGCCATTGAAAATGGAAGGAAACTGGTCATGCCTTTCAAGATATAGTTATTGCCTGACATTTGTGTTCTGTGAATGTTACCTCCTGGCTTGTTATTCAGTCTGAAATATAGATATCCCTAACAACGTTTAGATTTATTGTCCATCTCTAGTTGCCCCTGGACATGTAGCATTAGCAGTCCAGACTTGGAGCTAACTAATGTCAGTGTAAGCATCAGTTGTACAATTAGATCTAGAACATTGCCCTGAGACACTCCACCAGCAATTCCCTAAGACTGAGATGATCCCATCCAGTGATCATAGCCATTTTTCTGTGTCAGTTTTACTGCAGCCATTAGAGAATTTCCACCCCAAACATCATTGTCTTCATTGTAACAAAGCTTGTAGAATTGCACTTGGTTGAATGTTACCTTTATGTTAGGTGTAGTTATTTTCATCACACATCTGGAATTCAGCTCTTGTGCCTGTGCTTGATCGAAGTGGACTTGAGCCAAATAATTCCAGTGAATTCTAAACTGAATACCAGTGAGCAAATTACTGATAGTATGCCGGGCTTGGAAAGAGCATTGATGACTCCTTCCATCATACTACTGATGGTTGGAAGTGGTTCAGTGGACAGCAATTCGCACAATTTAGGTGCAATTTCAGCAGAACACATCTGGGCAGTTTTGCACAGAGTAAATTCCAATATTACAATTATATTTGACAGTTTAGCTAAGACTGAGATTATTTCTGGCGTAGGGGTCGTCAGAACCATCATCTGGAATTCACTGGGGCCTGTAATCTTTCTTGTGTCCAGTGGACTCAACTGTTTCTTGACATCACACAGAATTAATGAAATTGGTTGAAGTTAAGTATTTATGATGGTGTGGATCTTAGGAGAAGGCCTAGAAAGATCATGCAGTGATTACCTTTGGATGATTATAGAAATGCTTCAAACTTGAAAGTTGAGCTCCAGCATCTTTGAAGATTGGGATGTTCATGGAGCTTCCTCCCATTAGTTGTTCATTTGTTCCCCATCATTCATGATTGAATGTACCAGGATTACAGATCTGATGGTTGTAGTGTCACTTAGCTCTATCTCTCATATGCTTCCCCTTTTCACAATGAAACAAATTATTTTCAGTTTCAGTTTCAGTTTCACTGGGTTGGTACCTTATTTTCAGGTTTTTATTTTCATTGCTACTTTTTACATCCTATTCAACTGGAGTTGAACTGGAGTTCCTTGGGAATGCAGGATTTGAATGTGGCTGAAAAACTCATGCTATCAAAGCTTTTAATCTTTCGCTCATCAGGACAGATACAAGCAGACCGCATTTCAAAGGGAACAATAATTTATACTCCCATGACAAAAATGTGCTGCTTGTTTGCAAGTTGACTCTTGATGACTTAAGGTATGGTATTGCAAATGCAGAAAGGAACAGTTGTCTTTGCGCCGTTTTGAATTGAACAAAAGCATCAATGTCTGGATGTGTTCCTTTCTCCTGAAGAGGATCAGTCCTGCATATTGCTCTTATTAAGTATAAGCGAGCCACATTTCAGAGCTGACTAATCAGTTTAAATTAGTTGGCAGTGTAATAATCATCATCCCATTTCCGGCTTATTGCTGCAGGCAAAAACCATCTCCCACAAGAGAAAATCTAACGATCATTCCTTGACATTCAATAGGGTTACCAATAATGAATCCCCCATTATCAACATTGACCAGAAATTGAACTGGACTAATCATAAAAAATTCTGTGGCTATTTAGAGCAGATAAGAGTCTGAAGTTACTTCTAGACTCCTTAAAGCCTGTTCACCATCTACAAAGCACAGGTCAGGGATGTGGCGGATAACTCTCCACTTAACTAGATGAGTGCAGCTCCAGCAAGACTCAAGGTGCTTGATGCCATCTAGGAAAAAGCGGTCAGCTTGATTGGAACTCCATCTACTATAACACATAGTGGCAGTATTATGTACCATCTACAAGATGCACTCCAGTAACTCAGAAAAAGCTTCAACAGCTTCCAAACCTGTAACATCCACCACTTGATAGGACCATGGCAATAGATATATAGGTCTGACAGCATCTGCCAGTTCCCTTCAAGACATGCACCATTCTGACTTGGACCTATGTCATTGCTTCTTTACTGTGGGTCAAAATCCTGGGACTCTCTTCCTAAAAGTATTATGGATGTACATACCCACTGAACTGCAGCAGATCAAGAAGGCAGCTCATGATCACTTTCTCAAGGACACTTGGGAATGGGTAATAAATACATCTCATGAAAGAATTTTTAAAATGCAATGTGAATTGTTGCCTCCTTTGAAATTTGGCATTCTTCCATTTGTCCTGAGGAGTGTAAGATTAAAAGCTTCAATGACATATATCTACTTTTAGCAGTACTGAACCAGTGTGATCATCTGTATTAGTGTTGATAGTGAAGTTTGACCATGAGCTTAAAGGTTGTGATTGAGTTCAATTCTACTACTGCAGTTGGCCAAAGCGTCTGATGGATGCCTAGTTTAGTTCAATCTGTTCTTGATCAATCGAAAAGCTTCATGGAGGTAAATCAATTATTTGCCACCACTGGTAGGTAAATACAAATGAAGATAAAAATCTACACATATGGTTAAGGGGAAAGAATTTGTATCTTGACATGTCCATTTAATGTGGAATATTCACTTAGTGTGGATATAAGTTTTATTAAAGTTAAATAATCTCTTTTCCAAAGAAAGGTAGGTAAACCATTGCCAGCTAGCATAAGTTTTGAGTTCCTAAATACATAAACAAGAATTTAAAGGTCATGCACATAAAGAAGTGTAAGAAATTACCTTTTAAAATTTTTTTTGTTAAAAGCCCTGGTTACTTGCCATGCCTTGCATAGATTTTAGAGCACTACTTTAGAGCTTTACTGTCACATAGGGAAAAAAAGGAAAATGGTATGTTTAAAGGCACTCTCTCTGAATGTATAAAACATTTGTAGCAAGGGGAACAAATAATGGTACAGATAGAGATGGATGGGTTTGGTCTAGTAGCCATTATTGAGATATAATTGCAGGGTCAACAAGGTTGAGAAAGGAATATTCCAGGACACCCTGCTCTTTAGAAAAGATAGGCAAAACGGGAAAGGGTCAAATGTGGCGTGTGGAAATAGGTTGATGGTAGCTTGATATTAGCAGATGAATTAAAAAGTCTTGTAAACATGTTTATTTTCTCCTACTTTTCTTGGTAAGCCTTTTCTGATTTGTAAACGCCTCCTTCTCCTGCCCATTGATCCTCAAGCTTTATAATATTTTTGGAAACACTGTACACCTCTTCTTTCAACCTAATTCTGTTTCAAACTTCATTACTTAGTTATTTTTTGTTTGTCAGTAAGCAAGTCCTATAAATTATTTTGCATAGCTGCATATGTTAACTTAGAGAGGGCTATTTGTGTGTGACCTGCATTGGAACTTTCGGGTAGCTACAAAGATGCATGGCTGAGAGGGAACTTTTTTTTTTGCATACAGTTTAGTTGCACAAACAACAATCAATGCAGAAACCGAATAGTTTCTATACTTTTATTCAATGGAATTTGGAGTGGGAGAATCTCAATGCAATTACATAGGTCCGCAGTGAGCCCACACTTGAGTACTGTGTGCAGTTTTGGTTTTGTACATATTTGCATGTTGGGGAATCCAACAAAGGTTCATTAGATTGATTCCTTTAGGAGACAGTTGTTCTCTGAAGAGAGTTTGAGTAGAATAGGGATATATTTTTGGGTGTTTAAAAGACTAAGAAGAGATCTTATTGAAAGATGTAAGATTATTAGAGGCTTTACATGGAAGCTACTAAGAGGCTGTTCTCCTCTCTGGAGAATCAGAACTAGAGACAAAGTCACAGGATTAGACATCAAATATTTAGGACTGAGATGAGAAATTTTTTCATTCAATTTTCAATTCTTGGAATTACTGAGTACTGTGAATGCCCAGTTGTTAAACACATTCAGGACTGAAATAGATCTTTAGACACCAAAGAAATTGAGAATAGGGAGATAGGCAGCAGAGTGTTGAGGTAGCTTAATCATTATCTTATTGAATGGCAGAGCAGGCTCAAGGATCCATATACCTTATTTCAGTTCCTGCTCTTTTGATCTCAGAGAAGAAATTTTCAAATATGGACTAGGGTATACTGTTATTGGAATAGTAGTTTTCAGATTTATACTCAATGGGAAATTGCATTGGTGAAACGCAGTTTATTTAATTGAATATTTACTTCAGTTTCTAAACAAAAATAGATATAGAAATAGAAATATTACAAAAATAATTAAGATTACTTTGCATACAAACATTTGCTAATTCTGTGTCAGCTTCCAAAAAGCTGACATGATTTTTGCTAATAGCTTTTGTTAGGAGAATTGCAAAACTGACAAAAGCATATATCAGTTCATGTGAATCTTAGGTGCTTTAATGTTCTTGTTGCCTGTTTTGTAACAGAGTGGAATTTTTTGTGTACATTTGAAACTAGCAAGTTTGAAATAATTGTTATTGAATAAAAAACTCCACTAATTCATAAGATTTTACTGGTTGTATATCTTGCCTATCATAAATTTGCATCCTGGTTACAATAGTTAGGTTTTAGATTTCATGTCATTGTTTACTTCAATAAGTGACACATGGCAAGGAGACAAAGTGTTTTTTACAAAAAGCTGTTTCATAGAAATAAAACTCACAGGTCTGGATTTTGCACTGGTGATGACCTTACAACTTTCAGAGTTTGCTGTCAGTAGTTCACTTAAACTGACAAGAATTTCGGAATTCTGCGCTTGTATGAAATAACGTGGATATCCAGATGTTTCTGTCTGTAATCTATGTTACCCTGGAGAATATGGCATGCCCAGATTGCACTAAGTGGGAAATCTATGAATTGAATCAAACTTCCACGCTTATTGTATCAATCTCATTGAAAAACCTTCAAAAATGCACCTTGTCGAATGAGATGGAACTATTTATTGAGAATATACTAACTTCCTAATTACTAAGAAACAGCCTCACAGGCCCTGGGAAGCTAATTTTCTGTTTTTGCAGGGTCAAATCTCTCCATAATGACAACAAAAAAAATCCATAACCAAGACATCCCCTTTGCCAAGCACCATATATACCCCATTGGAGAGAGGGAAAACCATACCATGCTAGATTTTGTAGGCAGACAAGGTCAGTGGCAAGGTGAACACTGTAATATCAATGTTGGTTGCAAACTCCTGGGCCATGTGTTGTATCTTTACTATGTATCGCTGGTGTGGCATGACAATGAGTCACTTTCATTCACCTGTCTTTGCTAGGCCCATATTTCTTACTGGATATATTTAAGCAACATTCCAAAGTGCTTAATGTATGTAATGCCTTTCAATGGGAACTGGCCCATTAAAGAAATTTTGTACTGCTGCACTGGTTAATGGTCATTACAATTTCATCAAAGTATCTAAATTACCAAGAAAATCTTCATCAAATACTACCAGTTCCTTAACGCCCTAATTTTTTGAAGATACAATAAAGACTTTCGAATAAATAAGTAAACTGTTGCTGTTACTTTGTAAATTTCGAGACAGAAGTTAAAATGAATTTATTTAATAGACTGTCCTCATAGACCCTTATGACGTAACAAAGATTATACCTGTCACAACATCAACGTGCATTTGTATAACACTTTTAACATTCCAAGGTGCTTAATGGGAGGCACTCGCCACATCGTAATATGTTAGTACAGATGACAGAAGCGAGCTTAAGACTGTAGGTTTTAAGAAGAGTTTTGAAAGGTGGGGGTGGGAGCTGTGTACAGATGGATTGGAACCGTTTCGGGTCCAGGCAGCTGAAGGCATGGCAACTACAGTTTATGCAATACCAATGTGATTACAATTATTTTTTCGATATTCTTAATTATCTGTTCTGATTTGGCAGCCTTACAATTCTTAATCGTCAGATTTTGGGTCTAATCATCAATATTACTACAATACAGGTGAATCCTTCGTGTTTGTAGTCTCATCAAAAAGATTGTCAAGAATCACCACAATATTACAACGTTTGGAACATTAGTTCATAACCTGCCCTCTTGAATATCACTGCCTGTTTCTTCGCCTTTAGAGTTCATTTTCTTTTTGACGTATGAGATTATCATTTTAGCGGCTGCTGTTAACCCTTCCCCTGTTTTGGCACAGCATGGCTGTACGTACCAGTCTCGATCTGAGCACCATCTATTCATGTGGAAACGTTTGGTGATTTCCTCTGCAGACAGCGCATCGGCAAGATCTTGTTTGTTTGCTATGACCACCACGGGAATGCCTTTCAGCCAGTCGTTTTTTAGCATCTGTTCAAATTCTCTCTTGGAATCTTCCATCCGCTCCTTATCTGCACTGTCCACAACAAAGACAAGCCCATCGGTGTCCTGAAAATAGTACGGCCAAAACTGTCGCATCTTGTGCTGTCCTCCAACATCCCAAAGTGTAAGCGTGACGCTTCTACTATGCTCCAGCATTTCCACATTGAAGCCTATTGTGGAGGATGTGAAAAATTCAGTATCTCCGAATTTTAGTCTGTACAACAAAGTGGATTTACCCGCTGCGTCCAGGCCCAACATCAAAATGCGAGCGTGTTTCCTTTTAGCTTCTTTAGAGGTCAGCAAGCCCATCTGGACTCAGCAGTATACCTCTACGACGTAACTGTTCCCCCAGCTGCCAAGTTAGCACCAAATATTGGGCGTGTTCTCTGAATACTTCCGTGTCTCAGCTACAGATCTGTGAAGCATATTGATACCAAGTAAGCACCTGCGGCTATTTATGCGGCGCCTCCTTATCAAATACTGTAAGAGGTAACAGGATCTTTAGTTGGTGGGCGTTGATATCGATACACCTGAGCAAAGAGCGAGCTGGGACAAGATATGTGTGTTTAGCATGAGGGGAGTGTACAGGGAGAGTCTGACATTGTTGCCTAATTTGCAGACACCCATCAAGATAACCATTTATTTGATTACGAATTTGTATGAAGTGCAAATATGATATTTGTATGATAATTTATTATTAGATATATATTACATAGCCACTTTGTACAGTTGTAGGAAACTCACATTTCTCACATAAACAATATGCAAATATTTCCTACTTAAAGCCTAGCAATCTTTTGAAAATTCATTTGTGGACTGTGGCTCGGCCAGCATTTATTACCCAGCCCTGGTTGACCTCACGCCTTAATTCCTTTAAAATTGCAATTAGACTTTACCAAAGAAAAATACAACGGTTGAGAATTATGTTACATTGATAAATTTACATAGCATTTTCAAACTGAAAAGTTGTATTCAGATTTTGTTAATCAAGGCTTTAAATCATGTTAGCGCACAAAATGAAGACCTAAATCAATTTTCATTCTTCTTTATTTGTTCTAAGGTTGTATACTATGTACAACCTTAGGACTGAAACTGGCGCAGTCTTGTTTTGACATCATAAAACACTTAAGATTTCCTGGCATTAATTCACCCTATGCTAGAAAATGAGACCAGATCAAGCGACGAAATGATACAGTGTACTGAATAACACTCGTGTACGATTCGTAAAAACAATCCATCTAGGTATAATCTTTTCAGAGAAAGAGAAGGCAATCATAATCATCAAAAAGAGAGACGACAGCTAGAGTCGGCGAATGCAGAACAACAGGAACAAAAGATAAGCCAGTAAGAATTTAGAAAAAAAGATACACACAGTGAGTGCTAGTTGCCATCTGAAAGGTTTAAACAAATTACATTGATGCCATTAAAGGGAAGCTCCATTGCTGTCGTATAGGACGAACGTCAGCAGAAATGGAACTAGGTCAGATTGGGATGTCTGGTTGGCACGGACGAGTTGGACCGAAGAGTCTGTTTCCGTGCTGTATGACTCTGACTATTTGAACGAAAAGGGAATAGAGAGATATAGGAGCAGAGAGGGAGGATATAATTATAATGGGAAGGAGGATCTTGTGCGGCGTAAACTGGTCATAAACGCTGAATAGCCTTTCTCAATGCCGTAGGTTCAATGTGCTCCTTAGTGGAAAGTTAATTTAGGAAATTGTCAAGGAATTTCTCCACCGTGTTTGAAACAAAGTTAGAAGAAGAACTATCAATGTACAATACATATTATGAAGCAAATGGATAATGCTCCACTGATCTGTTAGATGTCTTTAAGAAAGCATTTGAAGCATTGGAAATGGCCGTCAAATGGTGCTTTTTATAAGTGTTACTTAAAATTCTGCTAAATTAAGAACGTCTGAATAACACAATTCTACATTGTTGAAATTCTTAGTTCACTTAAGGATCATTTAATAATTACATTTCAATTTCAAAATCAAAAAGAATGTTTGGTACTGTGTTTTGAGTTTGCAAACACAAGTTGGTTAGGTATGATCAGTATACTTGCCTGTTGGGAACAGCTAAAGGGATATGCTGAATGATCAACCCATTAGTATTTGGGGTATGCAACCTACATTCCTAGCATCACACTGGCATTGAAATTCAGAAGGCACATTACTCTTGGCAGAACATCTTTTTGGCTTGAATGCAGTATGATGTTATTAGTGAACACCACATAAGTTATCACTATATAGTTGCAGTATGAAACAGCATTAATATACAGGGACTTCTTTGCAGATAGAAAATCATGTACAGACATTTCATCTTTGTCAACTCAACAGGTGAAAGCTATTCTGTCTGGTTTATTTTGCAGGGCTTGAACAATCAGAGTAAATCTGTCTGGTTTAAAATTTGTACAAAGCTTGGATGTTAACTGTCAGTCATCAACTAACTGGTTCATTTCCCATGGCAATACCTCTCCCAATCAAAATCCATCTGTCAACCTATTAGCACATTTTTCTCATACAGTATAATTCTTTTCCTTTACATTGGTGTCTTTTATGAATTGTTCTGATGAATGCAAAATGAAAACTTTTCACAAAATGTGTCTTTTTCAGCAATACCAAAGGAGAGAAAGATATGCTCAGAGATGAGACAAATGAAATGGTGGAGATTTGTATGAATTATGAGTTAATGTTGTATAACTGAGGAGAAATCCAACTTGCTTTGGTTTCCTGCACAAAATATATAGCTCAATTTGAACACGTGTATGACCACATGGAAAGGGGCATAAGGCAAATTTGCCCTCATTAACTTAAACTGACAATCTTCACACACTAATCACATGCCCTAAATCATCTTATGATTCAGGGTCTTTGGAATTTCAGTATCAATACCAGTCCAGCATTTCAGTCCTGGGGTGGACATGAGGGATTTAATTAAGGAGAAGTCTAGCCTGGCAGAATTTTAAAAGGATTTGTGTGTCCTTTTCACAAAAAAAGTCTTTTTTGTGGACAGCTACATCTACACCACCACCACCACCACCACTACCCCCGCCCCCCCCACCACCACCACCACCACCACCACCACCACCACCGGTGTCAAAGGCATTCGTCATGGTTTTAGGTGAAGGGGTGGAAGATTTATAACAGAGATGAGGAGGAATTGCTTCTCTCAAAGGGTTGTGAAACTGTGAAATTCACTACAAAAGGACACGGAATAAATTTAAGGAGGAGAAAGGTAGATTTGACACTGAATAAATTTAAAGAGAAAGTAAGATTTTTAATTAGTAATGAGTTAAATAGTTATGGGGAACAGGCAGGAAAGTGAAGTTGAGGCCATGATATCAACTTCAATTGTATCAAATGGCAGAGCTGCCTCAAGGGGCTGAATTGCCTACTCCTCCTAATGCTTACGTTTCTAAGACCAGGAAGAACTTTGCAGAGCATGTGAAGGTCCAGCTTCATCCATTTTGCAACCAATTTTGATCACAGTCTTACAACCAGCTTTACATTGTCAATTTGTGCAACAAAAGGTTCCTAACAAATGTTTGATGTGAGCACTCTGTTCACCTAAATTTGCCAGCTTCCAATTTAGCAGCCAACATAGTAATGGAAGGGAAGAGGATGGACAGTCATCACCTCAAATTCATAGAATCCCTACAGTGTGGAAGCAGGCCATTCTGTCCATTGAATCGGCACCAACCTTCCAAAGAGCATCCCACCAGACCACCTCTTACCCTGTCCTTGTAATCCTGAATTTCCCATGGCTAATCCGTCTGGCCTGCACATCCCTGGACACTATGGGCAATTTAGCATGGCTAATCCACTTAAACTGCACATCATTGGACTGTGGAAGAAACTGGAGCACCTGGAGGAAACCCAAGCACACACTGGGAGAATGTGCAAACTCCACACAGTCGCCCAAGGGTGGAATCAAACCCGAGTCTGGAGCTGACCACTGAGCCAATGTGCCGCCCACCTAAAATGCCTATTCATCCTTCTCCTACAAGTTACACATAGCTTTTGTTTTTGGTTGTAAGTTAGGAAACAATGCTTACTAATTAGACAGGGTACAAGTTAAAGTACTATTTTTATGAGCAGTTGAATAGGAATCTGCCAAATCTAGCCAATCAATGCAACCAATGCTAATCAAAACTCTTCCTGCCAATCCGGCAAAAATGTGGAGCACATGACCGGATTCAAAGCAATTTCCTGAGTTCTATTTGTTCTCTTTGCACATGTACCACCTGGTACCAGATTTTGGAAAATTATAATTAAACGAACAAATCACCAAAATGCTTCATACTTTGCAACACACACTTCAATGAACTTTGCACCTTTATTACAAGAAAAGGCATTGTTCAGTCTATGACTCATTAACCAGGGAAATGCATAACACTCTCACATAAAACTGTTAGAAATTCAATTTTTGTCAGAGGAATTTTACTTTATAAAATTGAAATAACTAACATACTTCATAAAAATACTGTTAAAAATACTTCATAAGTCCTAAATAAAATATTATCTTAAATCAAATTTTAAACAGTTAAAGATTTGATTAATGCTTTTTTTTTAATATTGCCTACTTCCACCTGCTGCACTGATGCCTCAGCTTTTTCCTTTCTTCACTAATGGCCTTACCACGGTGAATTAAAATGTTACAACATATTAATCTATGGAACTTTAGAGTATAGACTTTGTAATATAAAACTCGGTTAATCTAACTAAACGAGCACCAGGACAAGAGGACATTTTGTAATTATCTTTTCAAGGATAACTACTGAAAGAAATCCAATTAACACTATTTGTTGTTCAGTTCTTGTTTCAATAATTATTAACTTCAACCGTCATGTTTCATGGAAGATGTTTTCTGAAGACTTACATTAGCCATTGGAAATAAAGCTACAAAATCATAACATGATAAGCACCAACTGAGCAAATTCCCTGTAACATTTCCGATTTGCTGCAAAATCTGAGGGACTTCATGAGCATTTTGTTCAATAGTATGATATTAAACAAAATAAATATTTAAAGCAGTTTCTTATTGGCTTTTATTAAATTTTGACACCATGTGGTTAAAATGATCAATAGCATTAGTGCACGAGAAGCTGATAGTGAATTAAAAATCTAGCATTTGCTATCAACTCATGCTAAAATATTGGTGATGAAGAATTTCACTTAAAGTATGTCAAATATATATTACTCTTCAAATTTTATTGCACAAATAGGGTTGGAGATAACATCCATACAGCTTTGGCAGCTGGTGTCATTTCAGTTGCTAGTTTTTCTTTCCCCAATAAAAAATGGTAATATTGCTCTGTTGGATTATTATAAAATTGATATGATACCATGAATTGATGTGACAGCAGGTGTTGATGCCGTAGTTAAAGAACAGCTAACCCTGCATTCACTGCTCCCTTCCAGCCAGGAGTTACAGCCTGCCTACCTTCCAAGATCCTCTACCTTATTATCTTCCTGGTGATCAGGGAGTTGAAAGGAAACTGACAGTCACAATTGAAGAAGAAAAACCTTTGGGGGGAGGGGCATATAGTTCAGCAATGCCTTCCTCCAAACTGCATGGGCAAAGGCAAAGTGGGAATTCCTCTTCCCAATGGATGGGAGGAGGAGATCAGCTTTCCTGACAAAGCAACCTGTATAGATATTACAGAGGAGGTCATCAGCCATAGACAGAATCACCCCAAAAACCTGGATCCAGTGTCACATGGGCATCATTATTTATTCAGTCTACCACTTTTCCTTTAGGTTTACATGTGACAGTGCAAGGGGGTGCATTTGGTGAAGAGGGAGTGACCAATCAGTGAGCAGTAAGGTGGGGGTGGGGAGGGCGGTGAGAATAGCATATCCTATCAGAGATGGTTGCATTCCAGTGAGAGGGTGTTTGTCCACCTTTGCTGACCCCCATATGATCGTTTGACGGTGGTTACATAGAAGAGTTATTCATGTATAGGCCTTCTTGGTGGACTGCTAGATAGCTGTTCTTTTTGTCTTCTAGGGGAAAGTAAGTGTGCTCTTGCAGAAGAATATAACCCATAACAGAAAGAAAAAGTGAATGCTGGTGTCATATCTATATAGTTTGAGCCCTATGGAGAAAGAGGACTTGGAATCGGCAGAGCAGGAGGGCAGCTATGCAATTGTTAATGATAATGTAAGAGAGTGAGTGAATGAGTGCAAGGGCCACGAGGCCACTACTGGACACATGGAACTCCACAGTGGGAATAATTGGAATGAGACAATAGTAAGCCCTCACTTTCTCAATCTAGTCTCTCACAATGATTAGACTCAGATTCAGACTACTGGAGAGATCGCAGGCAAACTAGGATGTCTGAGAACTTTCAGCAGATGCATCAAGACATCGTTTCCCTGCCCAAACACTCTGATTCTCACACTGGTGGGTAGATATTCATGTACAGATTTAAATTCACAACATGATGTAACATCATAGATGCACATGGGCACCTACTGATGGCTTTTGGAGACCAGGCTTATGCTGACATGCAGGCTGATGCCTTGCCCTTTGAGGTATTGGAAATATATGAACAGGACTGTTGCCATGCCATTCATGCATAAATTACAATGTGATGTCAAGTCACCAATCCAACTTCATCATGCTGGTCTTTTATAATTCAGAAATTGGGTGGCAGTGGCAGAAATTGACAGCTCACCCACTATTTTAAGAAAGCTTATAAACAGCTGTTCAGCTACATAAATACTAGGTATGAGGATATGTTGCAAAAGCAGATATAAAGGCTTAAAATGGGAACATGGCTACACTCAACAGAAGACTCTTTTGCTGAAGATGGAAGTGTTCAACTTTATATTCAGTCTTCTAGCTGCATGAAGACATTTTCTCAGGAAAGTGGTTATAAAGAATGTGCTACAATCAAGTTTATGCACTTCCCCAATTTACCTTTAGACCATTCTCTGATGGGAACTGCACATTCTGGAGGGAGAGAATGAGGAGAGAAGCTGTTCAGGGACCGGTGCACCCTCTAGTCTGCAGGGTTTGCAAACTGTATCTGTGCAAGGAACTGCAGCAACCACAGGCAGACAGAAATAGGCAAAGGCACTACCTTGCCAATCATGCCTCCAATGTGAGAATAATTGTGAGACATACTCATGTCATGCTTCCAATTGTTTTGATGGCCGCTCGATATAAGTAACATAGGCCTTGAATTTCTTCACTTCTGGTTCCTTCCAGGCATCATGTCAAACTTGAGTGGAATTTAACAGCCTGCACCCCATTACTGCATAATATTTTTATAGATGTATGCACATGACTTTATCTCAATTAACACCATCAATACTAATCAAGCAGAAAGATCTAGAAGTATTGCTGCCATCGCTGGATTCCCATAAGTTCAAGGGTAACTAATTGCACACATTTAGGAATAAAAGCTCTATTTGGATAGCCAAAGGTATTTGTCAATAAGAAAGGATATCACTAAATCAAAAAGCAGATTGTGTGTGACCCCTGACAAAGGATAGTGCAGGTGTGTGCATGAAATCCAGAGGTCAGTCACAATTCACATATACGTAGGTATTCTCAGGTACCAGGAATTTTCATTGGCCTAGAACCTTTGGATGCCTGGCTTCTCAGAAATCAAAGTTGATCTTTCAAATGGTGGTTAATGACCCTGGCGAGAATCTACACACATAGCCCGAGAAATGGGATACCAACACACAACCACTACGGTCATCTGTGAAGAGCCCAATTGTCTGCTGAAGATGAGATTAGACGTCTGGATGGATCAGGAGGCAGTCTGAAATATTCTTTGCACAAATACCACTGATTGCCATGATCTTGTTATGATCCAAGCCGAAGGCAATACTGGGAAAGTCAGATTCCAGAGGGAAACTTGGCTTCATAGACCATAAGTTTTATTTTCATTATTCTTTTTACTGCAGTGGTCAGTCGCTGAACAGATACACTAGAGGCTGCAAATATACTTTTGACAAATAAAATAAAAGTTTATTTCACATGAAAGACAAAGCACCAACTACTTTACACTGTACAAGACCTGTGTGAAATAGTCTTATTACAAATATCAGAAAGAAAGATGTAAAGTTTTAACCCCCCAACATTATACACACTCAAACCTCAGTTCATGGTCACCCTATCTCCACTTTAAAGTTCCTTGTTCAGTTGGCACACCTGCATTTGGCAAATCACCTGACATCGAACACTACTCACAGATCAAACCTAAAATAAGTCATGTACTCCCTTTAACACACACAATAGAAAAAAAAATCAAACTTAAAGCTCTACATCATTCCTTCACTTTAGAACCCAAATTCTCAAAAATTAAAAATATGTAATGACATCATCATAGTTTCCAGTGTATTGCACAACCTGATGTTCTAGAGAAGTGAAGCCCTGTAAAGGGGATCTGATGATGAGGACTGTATCCTCCAACGATATGACAAGTCAACCACGGCAGCCAACTGCTCAAGGCAGGGAGAAGGAGGTCTTAGATGCTAGAGAGTTTGGAAATTTTTGAATAATGTAAAGATTTCATAGCAACGTGTAATTTGAGCAAGAAGAACATCTTAGCTGAACTCACCTTCTCTTGGTGTCTCTCACACATCAAGACTAGGACCATGCATGCATGTGCCAATGAGGAGACATCAAATGGGGCAGATCGGAGGAAGCCACATATGCATAAACTCGCTTAGCAGCATGCAGTCAATCTGAAACAAAACCAAGCGATCATACAAATACAAAATGCAGCTGGAGCAGTAAATTAAAAGAATGATTATGTAATAATAAATTAAACCAAAAATCTTTATAACTCTCAAAATGGAACAATCACTCTTGTGAACATGTATGTGACTTATGTGGCATTTCCTTAACTTTTTCTGGGAACTGTGATATGTCACACACCCCCTCTGCCAGATGTAGGAGACTGTCTGCTGACCCTTATGTCATCGAGTCACAGTGTCATACAACACAGAAACAGACACTTTGGTCCAACTCGTCCAAGCTGACCAGGTATCTTAAAGTGATCTAGTCCCATTTGCCAGAATTTGGCCCATATCCCACTAAACCCTTCTTATTCATGTACCCATCCAGATACCTTTTAAATGTTGTAATTGTACCAGCCTCCACCACCTCCTCTGGCAGCTCAATCCATAAACGCACTACCCTCTGCATGAAAATGTTGTCCTTCAGGCCTCTTTTAAATCTTTTCCCTTGGCCTTAAATCTCTGCCCTCTAATTTTGGACTCCCCTACCCTGCAAAAAAGACTTTGGCTATTCACCCTATCCATACTACTCATGATTTTATAAACCTGTATAAGGTCATCCCTCAGCCTCTGATCCTCCAGCCTATTCAACCTCCTCCTATAGCTCAAACCCTCCAATCCTGGCAACATCCTGGTAAATCTTTTCTGAACCCTTTCAAGTTTAACAACATCTTTCCTATAGCACACAGACCAGAATTGAATGCGGTATTTTAAAAAGTGGCTACATCAATGTCCAGTGCAGCTGCAACAAGAGGTTGAGGAAAAGTTATTCTCATCAGAAACACCCCGACATGTAATCCCTAACTGTGGCAGCAGCTGCTCATCCATCACCATGAAATCTATTTGACCCTGCCTTCTTTCCTGACAGGAACCAGTTCATGCACGTAACTCCAGGTTCCTTACTTCACTCTTGTCTTGGCTCTGGGTTTCTGACCTCAGAACAAGGTGATGGAGTGCAGGCCAGCACACATGACCTGCATTCTAATTACTGGGTTTGGCCTCCATAATAATTGTCAGTCTCTTGATGGAGGACGCCATGTATTCTGAGAACCGGTGATTACAGCACTCATGACCGAGATCGACTTCTCCACTGTTTGTGCCAGTGTGAGCCACGCCTCCTGGATATATATCATATCTCCACTTGCCTCACACTGTATGTCCAGCACCTATTACCTGATGGCCAAGTCCAGAATCTCATCATCGGCCTAGAACTCAACATCTAGATCACCCCCACACTCCTCTGAGTGTCTGAGACCTGCCTTATCTCAATCTCCAAAAGTTAATTTTGTGACTGTGATGTTGTCTTGCCAGTATGAGGATAGTTTGGAATCAACACATACCCATTAAGACACATATCTGCACTGGTGCCAGATGCAGAGCAAGGATGTGACATTGCATCCCCTGAGGCTTCTTTCTTCTACTCAGAGGTTATCAGTGTTCCACTGGGGCTAGTGGCTGCAGCTGCCAATGTTTCACCTGGGAGAGAAATAAACAAGGAGAATGAGGAGCACCATCATCATTTGAGGTGACTTCAGAAAGACACACTTCCTAACTGCACAATCTCAGATTATAACTAAAGTTTGAATCTTGGGTCCCTTAAGAGGGAGGCACACATTTCTCCCAAATTCTGCGTACCATGAAATCAAACTCTATCAATGCCTTCTCCTTACTATCTTACTATCTTTCTCTGTTTTCAATACTCATCTCCCTTTCCTTCACCTCTGTGTGCAGGAGAGAGTTGTGTGTGTTTGGAACCTCACCGCCCTAGGGCTTTCCTCCAATCTGGCCTTACTCAATGCTATAACTCCCCTCATCTGCTGCCAGGACCAGCACTTCCTCCTCTAGAGAAGTGAAAATGATCATGTTGGTGTGAGCACTTCCAATCCTATTCCTCTCTTTGGTTTTATTTGCCTTCCTCTGCTGCAAATATAAAGTAACATCATCACTATTATACTATCCTAAAATCATGCTTTCAAATGTGGCCAACATGTCCTTTATCAGCAGTAAACATTTCTTCGTGCTAAATAAGGGGTGTTACAATTCTTAAGTCTCCCCTCCCCACCCAGAACACCCTAGTTCCCATGTGGAATGGTACGTATGCTCCTTGACACTTTGACCAAGACACTGAGCAATCCCATACTTCACACACTAAAACCTTTCATACAGGTCCATTGCTGAAATGGTTACACAGTCACACTGGCACATCATAACAGGACATTCAGCCTCTTACGGCACTGTAGCCACATACCTTGGATGACCCCATGACTGTTGGCCTCCTCTGTGATTTCCATCCAAGCTACACTGGTCTGACTGGAAGGCCTCCTCTTCCTGATGCTAGACCTTCAGCCACTCACTAATAGCTTAGAGCTATTAGTGCTTGTAGAGAGCTTGTAGGGAGTCATTAGCAAGCTGTGAAACTATTTTTGGTCTAGTGCCCTCAACAACTCTTCTCTCCATTATAATGACGACCGTGGAGAGGCAAAGAGAGAGTTAAAGGATATAATCTGAGTCCACAGAAATAGCCCATTCAGCTCCATGAGCCTGTTCTGACATTCAATAAGATCATGGCTGTTCTGATTGTAACCTCAAATCCATATTTCAACCTACCCCTGATAAGCTTTCAACCCATGCTTAATGACAATTTGTTTACCTTTACATTAAAAAATATTTAATAACATTGTATCTGAGAAGATATTGAAAGCAGAGTGAAAGGCTCACAACCATCTCAAAGAAAACCTTTTGCCTCATCTCTGTTTTTTAATAGGTACCCCTAGTTTTTAAATAGTGGCCCCTAGTCCTAATTCTCCAATAAGAGAAAGCATTGTCTTCACAACAAATCTGTCAAGATCCTTCAGGATTTTACATTTTTTTGATCAAAGTAACTCTTCTAACCATCAGCAGATACAAGCCCAGCGTCTCTAACTTTTCCTAATGCAATAACCTATCCATTCCAGGTATTGCTGAACTACGTCTGATGCATTCACATCCTTTCTTAAATAAGCTGACCATTACTGTGCATAATACGTCAGATATGGTCTCACCAGTGCCCTGTATAACTGAAGCATAACCACCCTACATTTATATTCAGTTCCCTTCAAGATAAATGACAAATTAGTTGCTGTGCTTGCATACTAGCCTCTTGTAATTCATGCATGAGGCCAGCAAGATCCTCTGCATCTCAGAGCTCTGTAATCTCTCACCATTTAGATAATGTGCTTCTTTTTAATTCTTCCTCCTAAAATAGTCACCTTAAAATTTTCCCACATTATAATTTATTTACCAAATCCTTGACTTCTCATTTAACCTATGTATGTCTTTCTGTAAAAACTGAAAGAACTGTGGATGCTGTAAATCAGGACCAAAAACAAAGTTGCTGGAAAAGCTCAGCAGGTCTGGCAACATCTGTGAAGGAGAAAACAGAGTTAACGTTTCGAGTCCGGTGACTCTTCCTCAGAACTGATAGTGGCTGGGAAAATGTCAGTTTATATGCAGTAAATAGGGAGGCGGGTGGGGTAGGGAGTAAACGATAGGATAGAGCCCAAAGAGAGAGAAAGACAGTTGGACAGACAAAGGAGTTGCTAACGATCAGGCTGGGAGGGTGAATAGTTGTTAATGGGGACTGTTAGTGACTAGTGTGTCATGGCAGGCTATGTGGTAACAAGGCCTGGTATTTGGGATAGGGGACTGGGACATGGGAGAGTTTAGGCCCTAAAATTATTGAACTCAATATTGAGTCCGGAGGGCTGTAGGGTCCCCAAGCAGAAAATGAGGTGTTGTTCCTCCAGCTTACGTTGGGCTTCGCGGAACACTGCAGCAAGCCAGAGACAGAGATGTTGGCCAGGGAACAGGGTGATACATTAAAGTGGCAGGCAACAGGTAGTTCTGGGACTTTTTTTGTGAGCAGAACGTAGATGTTCTGCGAAGCGGTCACCAACACTTCACACGCACTTCCCAGAATCTAGTCTACTGCATTCGCTGCTCACAATGTGGTCTCCTCTACATTGGGGAAACGAAGCGTAGACTTGGCGACCGCTTTGCAGAACATCTACGTTCTGCTCACAAAAAAGACCATGAACTACCTGTTGCCTGCCACTTTAACGCACCACCCCGCTCCCTGGCTAACATTTCTGTCTCTGGCTTGCTGCAGTGTTCCAGCGAAGCCCAACGCAAGCTGGAGGAAAAACATTTTCCGCTTGCGGACACTACAGCCCTCCGGACTCAATATTGAGTTCAATAATTTTAGGGCCTAAACTCTCCCATGCCCCAGCTCCCTACCCCACATACCAGCCCTTGTTACCACATAGCCTGCAATTACACAACCCCTGTTGTTAGTCACTAACAGTCCCCATTAACAACTAATCACCCTCCCAGTCTGATCGTTAGCAACTCCTTTGTCTGTCCAACTGTCTTTCTCTCTCTTTGGGCTCTATCCTATCGTTTACTCCCTACCCCACCCACCTCCCTATTTTCTGCATATAAACTGACGTTTTCCCAGCCACTATCAGTTCTGATGAAGGGTCACCGGACCCGAAACGTTAACTCTGTTTTCTCCTTCACAAATGCTGCCAGACCTGCTGAGCTTTTCCAGCAACTTTGTTTTTATGTCTTTTTGTAGCCTTCTTACCTATCTTTGTGCGGTCAGTAAATTTGACAACCATACCTTCTGTCCTTTCATCTAAACCATATCAATTGTGAATGTTTGAGGTCCCAGCCCTGAGCTCTGTGCCACTCCATTCATTACATCTTACCAACCTAAAAATGATCTTTTCATGCCTATTCTCTGCTTTCTGTTAGCCAGCCATACTTTTACGCAGAACAGTATGCTACCCACTAGACCATGAGTTTTTATTATCTGCAATGACCTTTGATCTGGCACTTTATCAAATGCCTTCTG